GAACTCGTAATAGAACTAAACGGAGGAAAATCGGAATAAAACTATGGCCTAATCCTAACCAGCTTCTACATTAACCAATATATTTACTCGGATGCTTATCAAGAAAATTCGTCTCGCACTTTCAACATTTCATTTTAATTTCTAAACATTATGATTAAATTTGACCTGTAGTAACCTCTGAATTTGGACTTTGTACATTAATCGCGCGCTTTTTAAGGTGGAAGGAATACAGTGTAGCCCGAGGTAAGCATACTGTTTCTTTTTATCTAATATCCTCTAAAAAACCACTCGATTATTGCTTAAAGTCCGTACTTCCGAGGTTACTACAGGTTAAATCTGAATCGCAAAGTTTATTTTAATATAGCTTGAATGCGAAAGGAAGAAATACCGAGCGTCCCAAAGTAAACTTACAGTTTTTTATTCTAAAATTAATCATTTTTTCAAGACTTTTATTTCCTTTTTCACTTAACTTTAAAAAACGCGCGACTAATGTTCAAAGTCCAAATTTTAGAGGTGAAGATATAAGTTCGCCATTCCTTCGCCCAACTTGTTCAAAATCTTTGGAATTAGCTTGAACAGCGCCTACATGATAGCGGTGCGACTGATAGAGTCTTATAAGGATAAGCGAGTCCGGAATTTGGCACAACCCTTGTTAACTTTAAAAATTGCGCGATTAATGTTCAAAGTCCAAATTAAATATGTGACTGGAGGCCAAGATAAAACTTACATATAAGCGTCATTGCTTCGCCCAACTTATTAAGTATTTTCTGCGATTGACTCGAACAAGAGGGTGGTGCTGCAGATATGGCAGTGGTTTTCAATCTCTTTGGTGGGCCGGAATCCCAATGAAACACTCTAGAGCAGGGGTGAGCAAGGTTTTTGGACCAGGAGCCAAAAATTTTGCCCGTCTGGACTGGCTGGTACACACACTACGGGAGTACCAAAACACTATAAATATATTAAAATTCTTTCCTATTCAAACGAAAACTTGCGGGCGCCTGAACTGTACCGTATGTATGTTTATTCGTCTCGTAATAGTGAGAAATAAATAAATTGCCAATTATTATATAAGACGGGATGCATGCACAAGACCTACTGGACTAAAACACAAATGTGCGGCATGCACCCCTTTTGACAATTATAAAACAAAAAACGCATTAAATACGCATAATATGGTCTCTTACAGAGACAGTTGTGCAGGGTAAGACGATGGGTTGATTGGTGTGGTGGAAGTGGTAAGGGTGGAGTATACAAAACTGTTTATACAGGGGAGTTTATGAAACAATGCAATATATACCAGTAGATGTTTTCACTGGAGTCGAAGTTGTATATACTTTTAAACTCTCTGGAGCAGAATTTTAGACTTTCTTAATAATAATAGAAATATAAATTTTCCCCAAAACTCAAAGTGTTCACAAGTGTGGTTGGCAGTCTGTTACAGGATTCGTTGTGCCCAGCACCGTGCAAAGCTTCAGTTATTTTTCCTGTATGACAAATTTATATATATACTCGTCATTACCGTCACAGATCGTGAGAGACCGTTGATACTCTGTATCAGGGGTGTGAAACCTTTTTCGCGGGCGGGCCAGATATTAATAACTGGGTAAAACCGCGGGCCGCACCTTTATTTAACTAAGCCATTTTTTAGTTACCAAATTTATTTTATCGACAACTTGTATTCAAATTTGCTTTAATGAAAGTGCTAGCAATTCGATATTCACTTTTCGAGGCTTCGTCTTTCAGGCGGTTTTATGATGCCCATTTAAAAAAATATATGTGGAGCCGAAAAGTGCCATATTTGAAGCAATGGCTTTTTTTAAATGTGAAAAGTTATATCGGTAGAGATGTTTTCGGTAAAATTCGCAAAGATTCATTTCTGAATGATTTGCTGTCAAATTTTATTATATATAAATTAGATTTAAACAAAATCAACGTATAGTCTGGAACCAGAACTCATTTAGCTTTTGTATCTCTCAATATTAGGAGATATAGGTAACGTCATAGGCATAGCCACTGTAACGTCATAGGCATAGACAATAAATTGACAATTACGATGGCCGCACACCGTTCAAAATTGGCACTTTGCTGCGTGCCGCACAATTTTTCCTTGTGGGCCGCATTTGGCCCGCACGCCACACTTTGCACACCCCTGCTCTATATCAGAAAACACATCGGAGTCGTCAGAAGGATGTAAACGCATTTTTTTAAAATCTGTGGTAAGAATTATATTTTAAATGTCTTGAGGGTATGGTTCGATTTTAAATGGCATATAGCCAGTGCGTTTACATTTTTTTGAAACCAATAACTGTTAACTATTTCCATACCAGACATGGACTGGTAACCGGACGATAAGCCGTTTTATCGACCTTCTTTTCCCCGGAATAAATATGAAAATACTAGTACATGGAATGGTTATTAATTTAACAATAACTCTAATATGACTGACCACGCTTTCATTACGTATTCCGACTACATATCGTATCCATGACACCAAGTTCACGAACGATTTTAATTTCTGATTAATGTATAGGGTTCATGAAAAATTGTCAATGATCATGCGCAATCTATCAAAGTCGTGCAGACGCCTCCCGAAAGCGTTATGATGCGACGCCCTGTCGACCTTTCGTAAACCACGCGCGCGATCGCTGTTCAAAGTCCAATTCCTGCAGTTACTTGAGGTCGACAGTAAACTTAATACGTTGCCAGTTCTGTGACTGATGAATAAATTATTTATCAGTTTTGTAAATGTATATAAATCTATTGTTTGAAAAAGAAATTATCAGTTAGTTTAAAATAATGCCACAACAAATTACTGTTTTTATTCAACGATGCATCAATAATTTAAGTTATTTTTATCCGAAAATATATACTTTAATACATAAAATCTGGTAACGATGATACATTTCTCGAGTACCAAGTTTCAGGTCGTGTAGGTTCACTGCCAATCTTTAAGTAAATATTCCGGAAAGTCGCCGCCTGTCTCCACATTCTTGTCGCGGTTTTGCTGTGTGGCAATAACAAATATACCGGTAAATAAATACCGGTAATCGAGTGATACGTGTTGGTACCGGCACTGGTTAACGCTTGTTAGATATGGCAGTTGTATACAGTCAGTCAGTACCGGTGGTTAGTCAGTAATTTGTTTTATCACATACCAAAAGTACCGGTACACAATGGACAAACATAGGCTAAATACGAAGGATATAAAAAAATAGGTTTCATTGTCGAGGGAAACGCGATAAACCAGTACCGGTAATAGTTATTGAGCAGCGTCACCTACGAGGGAGAGGGAGTGAGTCTAAAATTAAATCATACCCGGTACCGGTACGGTACCCTGTACTGAAAAAAAAAAGGAAGTCAAACATAATACCAATATGCATGACAGAAATAAACATATACCGGTACATAACAGTCAGTCGCCAGAAAACTGGCGTTTAGTACAGTAGGTATGGTACCATAGTACGGTAAATAGTCTATAGCAGTGGTTCCCAAACGTTTTAGAGTTGGGACCCACTATTTATCACAAAAGCTTATGGCGACCCACTTAACTTTATTTTAATTTTCTTTTGTTTTTTATTACGACATAACACAGAACACAGCAATGGCTAATCATCGCAAAACTACCGTGTTTCCTCGAAAATAAGACCTGGCCTGGAAATAAGATGATAATTTGAATTTTCAAAATGATTTTAATTAAACCCTACCCTTAAAATAAATAAAAAATGTGTGGAAGAGGAAAGGTTCAATGACCTGAGGTAAGGTGAAGATCTCACCACTATTCAGGATTGTGTGATGTCACAATTATGATATTTGTCACTTGATTTTTATATAAAAAAATCCAAATAAAAACAATGGAAGTAGGTTTTTATATAATGTTTAGTGAAAAATCTTGTGATTTTCTACAATGTAATTTTATTTTTGATAAATAAACACAAAAGACCTCTTCTAAAAAAACCATAGTGTTATTCTTCAAAAGAAATAAATCTAAATCCTGTCTAAATTTCGGTGAAACACGGTAAGAAGTTCTGTACAGCGTACAAAACTGCTATGCATAAAGAGGCCACATGTTCATTCTTTGTGTAGCAAATTTTTTTTTGTTCTTTTGAGAAGATCGTAAAAAGGAAACTTTCACAGATTAGAATTTAAATTCAATTTAATTTTTTTTGTTTTTTTGAAGATTTACGTATTCGAGTCGCCACCGATCCTAATAACTAGTATAATTAATCAAAGCTTTCTACATCTTTTCACGACCCACTGAGATTTTGGGAACCGCTGGTCTATAGGAAAGGATTTGCATATTTATCTCGGGGCAGAGGAAAGCCGACCAGACGGCTTATTCATATGGCAAACTGCGGCCTCTCGTCCGGATACGAGTCCATGCTGCCATGTCAGTTGTAGGATTTGTTAGTCAGTTACCGGTACCGGTATTTGTTTTAGATGCATGGACTTGATGAGTTAAACATGAAGATTGGGCCATAAACTTTGACACTAACCTAGAGGGCAAACGCCTTCAAGTACGGTCTGACGGTTGGCGTGGCATAACCATTTTCGCATATGTCATTTCCAACCCCCACCTGACTACCTCATCTAAAAATTACGTCATTACAACGTCACAGTGCGGCAGTGGCGTTATAAGGCTCGTCAAAGGTATATAGATTGTGTCCAAAACACTCGGACGTTCACGGATTATCGAAATCAAACAAGGTATTTACTCGTTTTCTAATCATAACGAACCCGATATGAGAAACGAGAGGGGCGAGGTCGTTATCGTCGGCTGAGATGCCATTTCGGGCGATCGTAGCTTTTTTTTGGCAAGCTCTGTGATGTCGCAATGGGGTAATTTTTGCATGGCGTAGTCGGGTGGGAGTTAGGAATAACATATGCAGAAATGTTTGTGCCACACCAACTAGAAGTACTCACATCGTTTAGTGAACATGCGCCATTTCTAGTAATGTGACAATGACATGCTAACACAGTAACATGATAGTAGTTACCCTTCTTACCCAATATCATCATAAAATTTTCAGAAATTTCCTTTAAAATCTCACACAATAAATAAAATCACGATGTCAGATGGGGAAGCAGAATTTTTCAATGATAATCGTCCTCACAAATTAGTCCTTGGCGAAAGTTTCAAAAGAAATTCGAACAGCGCTTTCCACATGATGCGATACGACTTCAAGCCGGCGTCTGTCGACAAGAACCAAGCAGGACAATTGGAAGTTGGTGACACAAATGAGGTGACGGTCTCATTGCCGCATATGGTCGGCTCGAAGACTCCCTGTACGGTTTATAAAGGTTCGAAGAAACCTGCACAGAAAGATTGTGTGTTGATCTTCGACCACAATACTGGAGAATTCACATTGGAAAGGATTTCGTCGCAAATTCAAGTTAAGAAGACAAGGGTCGCTGGCAACAACAGTAACAACTTCTCAAGTCACCCAGTTCTTGCTCCGGGTCCGCCAAAACTTCCGAAAACACTTTTGTCATCAAAGAACCAACAAAAGAGCTCGTCTTCAAATAAATCCTTCACTAGTAGGAAAATGGAAGCCTCGAAAAGGAAAAACAACGAGAGCGGGAATACATCCGCACAAGATATAAATCCTCCCCAACTGCCAAAATCTGTCGAGTCATCTCCCCCACAGAATCTGCTTAGTCATGCTCCTGAAAAGCAGCAAGAACCTGTTGGGAGTATGTATAGTATTAGTACTGATGATAGTCATTCTAGTAGTTCTAGTGATAGTGATAGCAGTGATGACGGAGATTCTAGTGGAGAAGACAACGCCCCTTCCCCGCCCCCTGTTGCTTCCAAACCACCTGTCACTCAAAGCCAACTACACGAGGATTTGGAACTCAGTGAATCTGGCTCTGATTCAGACTGATTTATAACTGACTGACTGCCAGAATTTTTACATTTTAGTTAGGTAAAGATGATTCTGCCATTTCTGGAAGCTTATTGCAAGGCGTTAATGCCTGACTGACGGAATTTTAACACTTTGGTTTGGTCACAGTTATTCTGCTTACATCGGAAGTTGACAAATCATAATCAAATTGATTATTTTTGTCCCCGACTTACAGCATTTCTGAATGCTGATCAGGATAACATTATTCTGCCAGTTCTTATTGGATACCGAAGTATTTTCTGTAATAATCCGGCCCGCCGAGTACTTCATCTTCCTACATCTGGCCCGCCAACTAGAGAAGTTGCCAACCCCTGATTTAACCCAATGACTTCCGTCCAATCTCTGATATATTTATTTTTTCTTTACTGCTGCTATTTGTGTTTTACTGGTGTAAGGAAATCATGTCAATCTCCAAATTTAAAAGAATTTGTTCAAAGCAAAACTTATTTTTTAAATGAAAACCTATTTATCATTATTTTGTCTAATTTTCTCATGAATTATTTGAAATTCTCATCGGTTGAATATATCTGATTTTATTTTGTTGATAAAATCTCGTTATCAACTTTCCTCTCCACAAGATAATTATAAAATCCTTATCTTATCTATATTTTATCTTCCAAAGTTCTTAGAATTTTCAAATTTTTTGTGAACTTTCAAGTCATTCCGTGAAATGTTATATTTAATATATTTTTGTTTGTATTTTTGTTCTCTAGAAAATTATAGTAACTTAGGAAAAAATTCTGCAAGAGTAATTTACGGTACTGAAATGCACCTAAATCTGCGTGTGACAGAATGTTTATCAATGTTATGGAACGGATTACAAATGAAGGAATCAACAACAGGAATAGAGGTGTTTTTTATCTTTACTCTGAGCAAGGCTCTGTACAAATCTCTGTACAAATTTTTTTAGAAAAGATCGCAATATTCTTTGGCTGGCAATTGCTTACAGTTTCCAAACTCTTTCTTTGTGTAGTGCCAAATTATCAGGGAAAAAACTCTCGACTCGTGTAACATGAAAAAATTGCTTCCTTCGAATACAATTTAGTTTTGTGATCGTTAATGTGTACTTTAATGAATATACTGTAGCTCATAAATAAATTGCAGCAAGTAGCGTCTATCTCTATTGTTAGTTGTTACGTACAATAATAAACGCAGACACTACGTAACAGAAAGTTCATACAAAGGCAAAATGAATCTATTGATTCATATACACAGCATTTAAAATAGAAACTTATAGAACTTATATAATAAATACAATATGTAAAATATTTGATCGTATATTAGGTATGTTTATCGCAATTTTGTTAATTTTTGCGGTGCTCTAAGCTGTGCCGCACTAGTGCACCAATAATTAAAATAGTTCCAAACAAAAAATAATCTGATATTTGACAAAAACTAGTTTCTTTGAACTGTAATTTCTGTTAACTGTGCAAAAAAGTTATATAAACTAATGTTCCACCTATTGTTCCTGCATTACCGAATATGATTTTGTCAATTTAAAATAAAAAATTTACAATAATATTCAATAAATTCGGCAGTGTCTGCTAGGGGGGCATATGATTTGATTTGGAGGTGTGTAACCTGCGACACAATGTTTTCGTTTTACCTTTCACTCCACAAAAAAACTCTCTTACTAGTTTCATTGCTCGTTAAAGTTATTTTGCAGAGGTTTTCACTCCGTTAAGCATGAATTGTTTGAAAGTAATGAAATCTATAACACTATTAATACCACTGAAATGATGAACAGGGGGCCATGAGTGCTGAGAGCCTCCAGAAGGAGACCACAAGCCAATATGGTTGTGAACCACTGGGTTAAGCCATCAAGCTGACATTCAAACTTGATATTTCAGAAAGTATTTAAAAGAGTTAATTATTTGGTTTGTGCCATTCTTGATCAGCACAAAGACAAACTATGCGAAACTCAAACTACCGGTATGTGTCATTTCCTTTATATTATTAATGCCCGTTTATTAAGATAAAAAGAGATAGTTTGTCGTTGCTACGTACCGTAATTAGGTAAAAATTATGTGGTGTGGTGGCTTAGTATTAGTGCTTGTTTTGATTAAAATCCGAGAGTAGATTATTACCGTTAATTTATGTGTATGCTTTGCGTATAATCAATTACCTATTAGGTTTGCTGATGTTATTAATAAAGATCATTTTTTTTTCCAGTTTGCCGTTTTGTTAGTATCTGGTTTGCTTTTTCATGTGTACTGTATTTGCAGTTTATACAATTCAGACACTATTGCACAGGGGTTACTTATGCCTGTGTGGTAAATATCATAAATTATTTTTGTAATATTACTTGATTTAACAAGAAGTTGAAATTGTGATTAACTTTCTGGTTCAAACAAAATCAAAATTTTTGCAGTTGGAAAAGCAGGGACCATGGTTTTAATTTTAATTCTAATTCAATTATTTCTAATTGAAATGAATTGCAAAATATGATTCAGAAGCTTTGCCGCCTTTGAAATCCCCACTCAAAAAAGCGCTTCTAAAATTTTTATATTCAAAACCTATTTACTATTTTTAAAGTTTTCATTTCAGCTTTACGTCTAAGCCTTCTTATATCATATTTTTTTTGTCATAATAATCAACTGAAATGTGAATTATTTAATTGGATTCTAAATCACCTATCAGTAGATAGGCTGAAGTTCATGCACCTGGAGCACTGAACCAGTGATGGTGAATCAACTAATTTTGGTGGATTGCCATGCCTATGCCGCTTGGACTGGCAACCATAAAGGCCATGATTCACTGTGTGACACACTGTGTCCCCTGCCATACTTTTTGTGGTACTCCAGTAGTATGTGTACCAGGTTAGGGTTGGGGCATAATTTTATTCTGAATCTTTTTATTTTAGTTCTATTAAGAGTTCGGGTACTATCTGTGTTAGCCGAGTGAATATACTCCCTGTCCATAGATTTCAGTCCCTTTACGCAACTTGACGTAAAGTAGGCGAACAAATTTGGTTGCCTTCATATCGGTACATGCACTTCTGGAGCGCCGTTTTTTTTCCAATAGTCAGTCACTCATTTTGAACAAGGCTCTTGGCTAGTTACTACTTTTTTAATTTGGGAAGCTAGTATTATTAGCTTGATTCCATGCAGTTGGAATGCTCTTGGTTCACCTTGTGAGCATTTTAATGAGGCGCTCCTGTAGTATGTGCATCAAGATGTCGGACACCGGAACGTAGTATGTGTACCAGGTTAGGGTTAGGACATAATTTTATTCTAATTTTCTTTATTTTAGTTCTATTACGAGTTCGGGGACTAGCCAAGTGACTCCCATAGTATTTGTACCTAAAATTATGGCCTAACCCTATACGCCATCTTGGTTCACTTACTACATGAGTACCGGTGTTTTTGCTCAGACCATCTTCTGTATAAGTAACCACTGATGAATTGCAGAGCCACTACTTTTTGAAAAATCTGATTATTTCTGATCTACTTTCCTTCACTCTGAATAAATGTGAATATTGAAAATCCTGCCTTTTAGCTGCACTGTGCCATGGAATTTCAATTTAACAATTTTGAATTGTTTTAGTTTCTCTTTATCTGTGCTCAAGCAGAAAATTATGGCACCATTGTTCATAGAGTGTAAAATTACGGAATCTTTTTATCACTAGTTTTCTTTTTGAAGCGCTGTGTGTTGGGTGAAATTGTGGTCAGGTATAGCGAGAGGAGAGACTTGGTAACATTGCTTTCTGATGATCATAGCAAGAATAGCCAACCTATATACTCTTGAAACGTTCTACAATGAGAATTTTGGTATTCTCAAAGTTTGTGAACCAAGATGACGGACACCGGAACTTAGTATGTGTACCAGGCTGGGGTTAGGCCATAATTTTATTCCAGATTTCCTTCTTTTAGTTCTATTACAAGTTCGGGGACTAGGCAGGTCAAAAGTTGAGATAACGCAGTCAGTATAAACATTCATAACCATCTTCTCAGCTTTCCTTTCCTCCCATTCTACTAATAATGTACTTTTTATACAGTATTAGTTCAAAACGTTAGTTAACACAGCATAATCATCATGTCTGCACTTACCAAGTATTTACCTGATGGATGGCAAAATATGGAAGGGGTATGTTGTATTTTTCTTACTTTTTACTTTCTTATTAAAGTGTGCAAGCAGCAGTGTAGGCTTATACTTAACCAGTGTTTTTATACTAACTTCAATTCAACCCAAAACTGAGTTGTCTGAAAATATTCTTAGGTTGCTTGATTTTTTAACATAAACTCAAAGTTACCTATTTCATTTTCTAGTAAAATTTATTGTTTATTTTGATTATCACGATCAGTTTGCACATATCAGTTTTATAACAATGAACTCAGTCCTTTTTATAGGATAATAGTTTCTTACAAATCATTAGAAATCATCACCTGCTTGTACAGGGCTTTGTTCAAAGCAATCACAGAACCTACTTCATACAATCCCTTTCAGATTCCCGCAACAATGATTGGGCTGAGCTTCGCGGCGATAGGAGCGGCAATGTGGTTCATGCAGCAAGGGGAGGACCTGAAACCGATAAAATGTTCAGTGGGTCCAAAGCAGCAGAGCATTGTCTGTGATGTGAGTTTTGCTTGATTTTAGAAAATAGAATAATTTTTATTTTTTTGGGGGGAGAGAATTGATTAGTTTATTTGCATCTGGAAATTTATTGGATTGCGTGGCTTTATTTGAATATTGCAATATTATTATCCTATGAATGCACCTACCAAGCACATAATACCAGTATGCACATGTTTTTTATCTTTGAAAATGCACATATATTAACACATGGATACACATTCTTGTACACATATTACATATATGTGACAACCCGCCTGCTGAAAATATCACATGGATATGCATATAGTGCCCAACCTGAGTTGTGTGTTTATTCTTATTTGAAATGGTATGTTTTCCTTATGTTTGGAGAATTTCCACATATTATGTTCCACATACACATAAATGTAATACTTGAGCACACATGTGACAGTGAGCTACACATAATAGGGGGGGGGGTATATTGAGCATATGGGGTTAATTGAGTACAAGGTATAAAAACCTCGCTAACTTTTTTGTATGTTGAGTGAATGGTTTGTACTTTGTAGCAACAATAGTTCATATCCTATGCTTCCATTTCATTGCGTATAACTCACTTGCCTACTAATGATAAAATTGTTTTAGATGTTTGTATGTGAAATTTTTTTTGTTCGCGAAAAAAATTGTTTTGGAAACTTTCACGTGACACTTTTCTGATAGTATATTTGAAACTTTTTGTGATGCCTTTTAGTACCTTAGTAAAGACTCTCTTTGCCCCAGTAGATAATTTTTGTGTAACTCATTGACTTTTTGTTTCATTGATGTTTGAAAAAATCGAGGTAAATTGAGTCTGTCGGAAATTTACCCTGGGGTAAATTGGGTATATGCATAAATGGCCTCTCCCACTGCTATCCTATAACACAGGATTATGAGGTTCTGTGTGACTATTTTGAGCCCTAACACTTTTTTGTAGCCTTTATCATGTCCATCTTTCAATATAGGCTTCTATTTTTCATGAATATGAGTGTAAATCCACAATGGGCAATCGTAGGATTTTGAGAAAGCAGTTCTTTTCTTGTAACTAAAAAAAAATAGTAAAAAAGAAAGCTGTGGACAAGCCAAGCACAGAGTCCTACTCCACCAGTAAGCTTAGTGCATTTACAAAGGCTTTAGTTGATGTAATCACACTCACTGT